AAAAAAAAAAGGAGAAGAGAGAGAGAGAGAGAGAGAGAGAGAGAGAGAGAGAGAGAGAGAGAGAGAGATACAAAGGCACGTATACAATGAGCTCTGGATTCTCTTGATATCACCTCAAATACAGCTGTGAAAAAGAAGAAAAAAAAACAAGATGATGTCTCAAGACCAGGAGAAACACCCCAGATATTTCCTATAGATGATCTCTTACTCTTTAAAATGCCCAATAGTACCATGCATCATTCTGCAACTGGCATACAGAATCCGATAGCTCTGCCATCACAAATGCCAATGAGCAGAAACAGAAATTCAGTCTTTCAGCTGTGTTTTATTTAGAGACCTGGCAATCTGAGAAGACAATGGATTAACACCCTAAAAAAAAATCCTGTCTTCCAGCTCATCAGTCAGTAGATTATATAGGGAGAGTCGGGAGGCTGGAGAAACAGAGGCAGCTGGGCATCCCAGAGCTCAACCTCAGCCCTCTGATCAAGTTATGTCTCTGAGACTTGTGATGTCTAGCTCTCGTTATCACTCCTCTCAGTCCTCCCCATGCTTTTGATGTGTGGGCTCAGCCACTTCCCAAATTGCTGAGTCTGATTAATGTACGCTAATATCAATTTGTACTCCTCCAGGGGCATCTGGGATGGAGGAGGGTTAAGTCAAAACAAACACACCATTCACAGTCCTGGTGCTTAGCTGGTAATTGTGCATACTAACTCCAGCTTCCAATACGGAATCTGCCCACCCTCTATCTGGGGCTAATACTTTGGGTGAGAAGGGGAAAGGATGTGGTGAGATGGCCCGCCGACCCTTCCGTCCCATGATCTTTCATGCAGCTGCAGACTGAAGGACAAAATAAATCCCCTGTGTGGTTCCATCTTCGATGCCAGCAAGCTTGCCAATACACTGTGTCAGGGCAGAGGAACTGAGGGACTGAATGATTTCCATCGGAAGATACTCTGCAGCCTAGACACTTTCAGTAACCATGTCCGGTACAGGGCAACCCCTCAGTGCATCAAAAGGCCACACGTCTTGTTGCAGAATTCAGCTCTCATCTCAAAGAGAATAAGAAACAGTTTATTCTGGGGACAAATATGAATGGCCATTTCCCAGGAACACCGATTTGAGTTGCCCAAGTAACACATTCCAACGTGGAAACCTGTCGTGAAGTTTTTATAGTTACAGAACAAAAGAAAGACATAAATCAAAGGATTTTTAAAAAATGCCTTAGTGGAGACATAGGGTTGACAAGGTTATAGTGAAGCAGAGGAATCTGCTCTGGGCCTCGGGTGCTGTTGAAGAGATGCTGTGCTCTTGGATTGGTGGTAGCGGCTCGTCTGTTAACATCGTGAAATGACTTACCTGACAAGGATATTCAGTGGGACACGGAGATGGGCAGTCTATGACAATAAGAGGCTAACAGTAACCCAAGATACTATGGCCTTGATCCGCAACAGTCCAGCTCTCTACGGTGATGGCATTCAGTTCAATAGTTGGTGGCCTCAAAGTTACCTCCTTATTTTATTTTGAGGTTTTCATCAAATTCAGGTTGTTGAGCCAAACCATCAGAGACCAAATGTGGGTAGCGAGGTTTCAGAAAGCTAATTTTTTTTAGTTTAAGTTGTTTCATACACATTTTAATTAAAATATAATTCATCACTTTCTGCTTCCCTTTCTCCCTCCAGATCCTCCCATAACTCCTTCACTCTCAAACTGATAGCCTTTTTCTTTGATTATTATTGTTACATAATGTATCTGTGTGCACAAATATGTAAGTGTGACCTGCTGAGTCCATTTTTGCTGTATATGTGTGGTTCCAGATCAGATAATTTTTTATTGAATAACCAATCAGGGGGCTCGTTCTGGAACATACTGTATATACATTGCTGGCCTCAAACTCACAATCCTCCTGCCTCAGCTTCCCAAATACTGGACTTACAGGTGTTATCGCTGAACCCAGTCTTACTCCCTTAGTCTAAATGCAGCCACCTGGCTCCTACGGGTCAAGAGCTGTACTGAGCACTCCCATCATCCCAGTTGCCCTTTAGGGCAGTCCTGACATGGTCTCCTTGGGGCCAACAAGGACGCTTCTCGGAGAGGCAGGTACTTGGATCCTCTTGTCAACTCTTACATTGTCTGCTCCCAGTGTGAGTATTAGTGGTAGAGACTCTTCCCTAGGTCCACCATTCCAGATGTGGAGACCTGAGCATGGAAGCATAGCTCCCTAGGCCCACCTTTACAGATGTAGAAGACCTGAGCACAGAAGCATAGCTCCTGGGTCCTCCATTCCAGATGTGGGGAACCTGAGCAAGGAAGCCTAGCTCCATAGGTCCACCATTTCAGATGTGGGAGACTGAGAACAGAAGCATAGTGCCATAGGCCCACCATTCCAGATGTGGGGAACCTGAGCATGGAAGCATAGTGCCATAGGTCCACCATTCCAGATGTGGGGAACCTGAGCACGGAAGCATAGTGCCATAGGTCCACCATTCCAGATGTGGGGAACCTGAGCATGGAAGCAGAGCTCCCTAGGTCCACCATCCAGATGTGGGGAACCTGAGCACAGAAGCAGAGCATGTGGGCAAAGATGAGAAAAACCTCAACCTTGCATTCACTAAAACTTCTCACCTTGCCTTCTTCAGGCCAGATCTTCCTCTTGCTCTGTTCAGCTCAGACTCCAGATCCGATGCACAGCTGCTCTGACCCTCCCCTGCTCCTCTGCCTGCTCCTGACATGGCCACAGCAACCATCTCTGCTGTCACGATTTGTTCACTCTGTGAGAACCTTGAAATTGTCATCCTCCTCAGACTGTGAGTCTGTTGGAGACAGCAATGACATGATTTATTACCAGTAATTAAGTAAATGAATTTTTTTTAGTAAATGAATTTTGAATGAATGAATGAATAAATGAATTCAGATAATGACACTGGGGTCTCCTGACCTGCCCAGTGTCACATGAGATGCACTGGTACACATCTAAATATTATGTCTCTTTGTCTACTATACTTTTCTAAGCCTTGGGGGTGTTTCTGTTTGAAAATGTGTCCTCTGTAAAAGTCAGCTGACATCATGGGAAAAATTAGTGAAGACGTCTTAAAAGGAATAGAGTGTAAAGACAGAGGAAGAAAAATGATAAAACCGGAAATGGAGAAAAGAGAACACACACAGCAAGACAGACAGACAGACAGACAGACAGAGAGAATAAAGAAAGATGGTCACAGAGGGCATGTAGAAAACTCTGGGTCTAATTCCCAGCCCCACATTAACCAGTTATGATAGTGTACTCCTGTGATCCCAGGACTCAGGGGATGGAGGCAGAAGGATGGGAATTCAAAGTCGTATTTAGCTACACAGTGTGTGTGAGGCCAGCCTGACCTACATGAGAAAAGAGAGGAAGGAGAAAAGGAGGGGAGGTGTGGAGAGACTGTTGCTTGCTTCAGATTATCACAGAGGTGGTCCAGGAATGGGGCTCTTGTCTGGCATGAAAACCATCTGGGGTCTGCCCTCAAAGTGCCCACGTGGTTCACTTCTGTGCATCTTGTTACTGAACTCCAAACAATACAGAATAATTAAACCTAATTAATTCATGTGACAACCTGAGATGGGTTTGAGGCCTCTCATGCCCATGGCATGGATGCTAGAAGATACACCCTCCAAGATGAAGGACAGGTGGAGTTTCTGCAGGTTTTGCATTAAACATGAATAACATGCAAAGATCCACACTGTACCCAGGTATGCAGCCAATTGTTTTACTGAACACTGATCTCACAGAGACCAAAGCATTTATCCAGCACACTGGCCTTTCCTTCTCCAGAAGGTGTTATCATTATTAAATAGGAAAACTAATGGGTTATTCATTTTTCTGACAAGATATCATTTATGTCTTCCAAAGCTATATTCATTTTCAAGAGTTCTTGTGCTGTGGGATGATCTTTATAAGCACTCTGTGACTATGTATTCTTCTCACTGGTTAATAACAAAAACTGTTTGGCAAATAGCCAGGCAGGATAAGGTTAGGTGGAACAATCAAACTGAGAACTCAGAATCAGGAGAGATGCCAGTCAGCGGCTGGAGGACCAAGATATATTAGAACACAGGTAAAGCCATAGCCACGTGGCAATGCATAAATGAATAGAAATGGGTTAAAATGTAAGAGCCAGTTAGTAATAAGCCTGAACTATAGGCCAAACATTTTGTAATTAATATAAAACCTCTGGGTGATTATTTAGAAATGGCTGTGGGATAGTGCAGGACAGGGAAACCACCATTTAAATCTTTGATCAGTTAAACAGAAACTTTGCAGTCAGTGAGCTTCTCATACCAGGAACCAGCGAATAACCATTTCCCAAATGATTATCTGATGTCCTCATTGACTCAGTACCAGCTTCGAGCTGGAGACACACGTGAGCAAAGCATCCCTTAGTTCCTGACTGCTGAGTACCTGTAATACAGGGGAGTGACTATCAGTCAGTGGGTTTCATAAATGCAGGGAAAACAACAGCAGCAATGGAGGCCCTCCAAGGCACAGTCAGTCACACTAGAGGAATGTTTCGTAGAAGATTCTAGAAAGGTATACCATGGATGGACTTGAGATAGTTAGGAAAGTCTCTTTGGAAAAGCAAGTGTTGATATATGAGCTAAAGGACAATTCAGAATGAATGAGAGGGGAAAAAAAATCAGGGCAAGGGAGTCCCAGACAGACAGACAGACTAGAGGAGGGAGGAGTTCTGGGGCAGAAACAAGTATGTCACCCCAGAGACAGAGTCACACAATTTGCCCAAGGTAATGCCTTGCTATTGCTCTAGAGTAATCACTAATAGCTTCCTGAGCCCTAGACAGAGTCCTACAGTTAGCCTAAGGGAATTCTGCTGTATATCAAGTGTTCTAGAGCAGAGATTCTCAACCTGTGGGCCACAACCTCTTTGAAGGACAAACAACCCATTCACGGGGGTCACTTAAGGCCATTGAAAAACACAAATATTTGCATTTTGATTCTCGGCACTAACAAAATTACAGTTATAAAGTAGCAATGAAAATAACTGTGTGGCTGGAGGTCACCACAACATGAGGGACTGTATTAAAGGGTCGCAGCATTAGGAAGATTGAGAAGCACTGCAATCTAGAGTAGTTGTTAATAACATCCCAAGTCCTAGATAGAGTCACGCAGTTTGCCTAAGGGAGTTCCGACATATGTTTGCTGCTCTAGGGTAGTCAGCAATAGCATCCCAAGCCCTTTCAATAGTGTCTCGTGAGACACTGAGAGACTTGGCATTCAGGATGAGGCAGGGCCCTGTATCAGATAAGGCTGGGAAAGTGAGCAGGAACATGCCAAGTCACCGACTCTTGACTCTTGACGACAACCCTGACCATTCAACAGGAAGTTATTAAAGGGTCTTAAGCATGAAGACTATTTGGTCAGATTTTGATTGGCCTTGACTACAGAGGCGTTAGAAGGGAGGGAATAAGCACCAGAGGCATTTCAGAGGCTCCTACCTGAGACTCGGTGTTACTTTTATAAAGAGAGAGCCTGGGAACCCTTCCCCTCAGGCCTTACCCCCTGCTGTCTGAGAGCAGGGAGCCTTACTCTGTTACTAATCCATCTTCGGGGGTGGGGATGAAGTTGCTGCTGCTCAGTTCAAGCTAAGATAACAGTTCAAGGTGGACAAGAGTGATTGCAGCAGAGAAAAAAAGAGAGGTTCTTGGATTTTAAAAGCATCATCAAGTACACCCTGGAGGGCACAGAGAGAGAGAGAGAACACAGTGATGATGTCTCCATAGAGCCAGCCAGTTGGTCAAAGCATTGCAATCTAAACAGTCCAGACAACCATATGGGTAAGCCCAGCCAGAGTTCACGTGGAAATCGAGGCTGGAGCTAAGGATAGGAGAATACACGCACACACTGAGAGTGGGGTCAAGTCCTTCCACCCCTTCCTTCTCAAACCCATCTATTCAACTCCAGATCCAGCCGGCCTGACCTCCTTCCCCCTCTGCCCTCCTGGCCGACAACATCTACCCAACCCATCATTTTCCCACCAGCAGTGACTCCTCCCCCACCCCCAAAGATGGCTGAATAGTGGAGCAAGAATGCCTGTTCTCAGACTGAAGGGGGATGGGTGGGAGGAGAGGGATTTCCTGTCTCTCTCATCTAATGTCTGCCTCGTTTACAAAAATAACTCAGAAAGACTCAATGACCAGGAAGAAAGAACATATGGATGTTCTCACCAAAGGCTTCCTCCTTTCCCTCTGTCCAGAGATGTGACTCTAGTGTCCCAGAGAGGGGACAGCCTGAGTGATTATTTCATTCAAGGCCTCCTTTTTCTAATGAGGCAGCTCAAACCCCAGGAGGTATCACAATCCAACCCAACAGAAGGGACCTTACATCCTGGAGACCAGGAAATATCAGGGAAATAATCTGGACCCATCTAAGGCCCAGGCATGCAGTGGGTGCTCAATCAACTGATGGAAATGAACTCACCTCCCTCTCCAAGTTCAAGCCATGTGCACTTCAGCTCTGGTAATGAAAGCCTCCTGGCTTCTAATAGGCTGAGGAACCGCGCCACTTAATACCAAAGGATCAGAAAAGCAAACCTAACCAAAAAAAAAAATGAATCCAGGATTTCAGAGCTAGAAGGCAAAGGCTCTTAGGAGCCAGAGAGAAATTATTTCCTGACCTGGAAATAGTCCACAGTTGGAGTGAGAGCTTTGCAACCTCCTGAGATCCCAAAGGACAGCAAGCGTCAGAGCCAGGAGCTCAGCTGGACTTTGACCTGGGGGACACAAAGGGCAGGGGCTCTTCAGAGAACACAGGCTGTTGTTGTGTACTATTGCCCCGGGGTTCTCCCATAGGGTAGCCCATCGGGACACGGAAGTCCCCTTCCTCTCCTGTCCCCATGCCACAAACTCCAGAGTCTCATCATTTCCAGGTCAGTAAGTGTAGGGATAAGTCCCACCCCTTAGGGGGCGTGTTCGCCTCAGGCTAAAGTTTGCCTATAAATTTGGCGAGCGTGCTCCCAGCGCTCGCTTCTGCTTTCCTGGTCTCCGCGGTGGTTCTGTAAGTCTATTCCTCCATTAAAGCTGTCTATATTTTGACAGTCTGTCTGCATTCGCTTACGCCGTTACAAATAAGGGTGATCATTCAGAATAAAACGTGTAGGCATTGCCAAATGCATCTGGAAACTGACAGCAGGCTGCCTAGGATGTCCATTTCCCATTTCCAAAAGGATGCAAAAGGAGAATTGCAGTCTCAGAGTGTTTTAGTCAGGGTTCTCTAGAGTAACAACTTAGAGAATGAATACACACACACACATACATACACATAAACATAAGTCTCATACATATATATGAGATTTATTAGAATGACTTACAGGCTGTGGTACAGCTAATCCAACAATGGTTGCTTATGAATGGAAGTTTCAAGAGTCCAGCAGTTGTTCAGGCCATAAGACTAGATGTCTTGGCTAGTCTTCAGTATACACCAAAATCCTGAAGAAGTAGGCTCTAATACCAGTGAAGGGATGCACTTTCCAGCAAGACTTAGAAGAAGCAGGCAAAGAGAGAAGGCTTCCTTCTTCCATGTCCTTTATATAGGCTTTCAGCAGCATGTGGGATTTTCCCAGTTGGAAAGATATGAATTAAATGTGTGTGGTCCCACCTCAATGATCTGTATTAGAAATGGACCTTCTCACTTCAAATCATTAAGCCAAGATCCCTCACAGGTGTGCCCAGCCATTATTGAGTTCATTCTAGATATAATCAAGCTGACAACCAAGAATAGTCATCTCAGAGAAAATCAAGAAAGTCCCAGGAATATTGCACTGGGCAGTGGTTTTGCCTCTATAAGGAGACATATCAGGGGCTAAAAGCAGTAAGGCTGAAGACTTTTTATCCATCTAGAAGAATGATTGCTGTTCTACTACCCACTCATGTAAAAAACATGAATGAGGCATTACAGGCATTAGCCAGCACTGAAGTTAAAAGAAGGGAGGATAAAAGTAGAGGCTGGGAGAGGACCACAGTCAACAGGGACAGGAGTATCTCCCCACTGAGGCGCAAGCAATTAGGAAACATTGATTAGTATTATTGTTGTGGTTGCTATTAGTAGTCGTAGATTTTACTTGAAAACAATGGGCCAAGTGAGTGTGTAGAATTTTTTTCTCTTTATTCTTCTCTTATACTGTACATTCTGACTGTAGCCTACCCTCTCCCCACTCCTCCGTGTTTCCCCCTTTCCTCCCTTCCCAGGTCCACTTCTCCTCCATTTTGCTTGAAAAAGTCACAGACCTCCCAGTAAACATCAACCAAACACGGCAAAACAAGATGCAATAAGACCAGACACAAACCCTCACATAAAGCTGAAATAGGCAAACTGGTGTGGGGGAAGGGTCCAAGTGCAGGTAAGAGTCAGAGACACTCCCATTCCAACTGGTAGGAGTCTCAGAAAGACCCCAGATGAAATGTATCTATGTAGTATGTATGTGGTATGTATGTAGAGGACCTAGTGCATACCCAGAGCATGTGAGATTTTACTTTTATTTGCATAGAATCATTACATGTGCTCTTCCTGCCCACCCAAGTTAAAAGTGCTACTGGACCCTTTCTTAATGTAGAGGACTGAAGTTTTGTCATTTTGAAAACACTAATGAAGCCTTCTGCTGCCTGAAGAGTGTATTCTGGGCTGAGAGTTAGAAGATGGGCTTCAGTACCCACACACTTGGACCGCCCTCTGTGCCCCCATAGGCCCCTCATGTCCTATTCAGTTCTTGAGCAGTTCATTTCACTCCGTTACCCATCCATGAAAGGTAAAGGCTGGTTGCACAGGCTCACATCATGAAACATTTTTCAAGAACACAAATGCAAAGTCTGCCAGTGACCTGAGAGCTCCAATACCAAACATAGCAAAAGAGCGGACTACATAGCATGCCAGAGGTGGCATTTAAGCCCAGGGGAGACATTGACAACTTGACTTCTCAACCACGAGCCAGCCTGTGTTGTCTGTTCTTCAATCCTTCCTTGTCAGTAAATCCATTCTGCCCATCATAGGTCCTGGATGTCTCCCTGCCTTCTTCCTCAGAGCTAATTGGGAGCCTCCTCTTTGCTTCTACATCCCTTTAACTAAAGCCCCATCATATCTCACAACTGGATGACAGCTATGGTAGACAGCTGTTCAGTACAGATTCAGGGCTGTATCCAACCACAATGACATGTACAACTCATGAGTCAAGCATATGGATTAATATATAAATGAAAAAGCCAAAGTCTTTATCTTGTAAAAAGCTTCTGATCCAGTGGAGAAAGACCTGGGATGGTGATTTTTCTGTTTCCAGTTGACTGGGTGTAATTTCTTGGTGTCTGGGAGTGTATTGCAGGATAGGATTAGTGTATGCATTGCTGTAATCAGTAGAGACATTTCCTTCACCAACCAGGGTGGAAGGTATCATCTATCCCCAGAAGACCTAGACAAAGCAGGAACAGGTAGAGGTTGCATTTCCTCTCTGGCTCGTGAGCTGCATCACCAACCTTTCCCGGCTCCTGGACTGGGATGTGAGTCCTCTCATCCCTGGTTCATAAGACAAGCCTTTAGGGCGGAGCTGCAAATTACCACCGATGGTGGGTTGTGGGACTTCCCAGCTGCCTAGTAAACCCCATTCTGCAGACACCTTTCATTGGCTCTAGAGAATCCTGCCACAAGACTCTCCACAGTGACCACAATCCTTCAACACAGGCTGCCAGGGTTGCCATCAGATCCATAGACTAGCTTCTGTCCTGATGTGAAGAAGAAGGCTGTGAACCTGAGGAAATAGGGTGTACTTAGATAGGACTGAGAAGTAGTTCAACCAGGCAAGAAAAGAGAAGGAACAGGAGCCTGGAGAGCATCTCATGACATGCTGAAGAATGGTGCTGTTCAACCACTCAGCCCTCACTGGGCTCTTTCCCTGTCCATACAGAATGAATGAGACAGACCAGCTGGACAATGTCTCTCCCTCAAGAACTCTCCATCCCCACCGGGGGCATTCTAAGAAGACTGTGATGGAGACCAATAACCACAGCATCCAACACGGATGGCAGATGAGGAATAGGTTAAAGGTCTGTCAAGGTGCTGACATTTTCACTTAACATGAGTGTCCTGTGGGTGCCTGAGTGGAGGAGTCAGGGAGGCTCCATAGGACAGAAATGCCAGAGACTGCTCTGGGGGCTGAGGTTTTCAAGGCAGGCTGTCTGGAGGTGGTGTCTTTCAAGTTGGGTGCTGTGGGACAATGGTCTTGTACTTTGAAAAGGTTTGCCTCTTGTATTGTTTTTAATAAAACTCTGATGGACCAGTAGCCAGGCAGGAAGTATAGATGGGGTGACCAGGCAGGAAGTATAGACAGGGCGACTGGAATAGAAGAATTCTGGGAAGAGGAAAGGTTCCGTCTGCAGTTGTCATTCAGACACAAAGGAAACAAGATGTTACTGCCTCGCTGAAAAAGTACCAAGCCATGTGGCTAACACAGACTAGAATAATGGGTTAATGTAAGTTATGAGTTAATAAAAAGCCTGAGCTACTAGGCCAACAAGTTTATGATTAATGTAAACCTCTGTGTGTTTGTTTGGAACTGAATGGCTGTGGGACCAAGCAGGACAGAAACCTTGGTCAACAGTTGGGCTCTAACAGAAACATAAGGGTTTATCAGAGGGGAAAAAAAAAGGTGAAGAGACTTTGGGAAAAAGGAAGAGTTGAGAACGGTGGAAGTAAGGAAAGCTGACAGGAGCTATAACAAAATGTCATTCCAAGACCCAGAATCTCCCAGCTACCTCATCAAATCCTCTCACCCCTCTGAGGAAAGGAGGCCATTCTACACACAAACAAATCAAGATACAGCACTTGTATGATCTCCTCAGGCACAGAAGCTTCTAGAGAACACAATTTCTCCCATCACTGAGTGAGTCTACAGCTTATTCTAGAAGATCTACTGAGGTAGAAACATAGGAGGGGGAATTTCATGAAGAATAAACTCAACACTAGTTGATAAGAGCTATCACACAATGAGTCTACAGAGATAAGGCAGGGCTACTGAGTCCCCATGTATTAGAACACATGGCAAGGCAGTCTTTGAGGAACCACTGAAGGTTTGAGAGAGAAGGGAGGTCCCACCCTGAATCCCAGGAATGTCTCTCAGCATGATGGAGACATAGGACCTCACAGCCTGGCAAAATGTGCCCCATGTTCTAGAAGATTCCATGTGACTTCCTGATCTGATGGACTACTTTACATTGTGTGTGTTGTGCATGTACGAATATGCAAATTCGATGCTAGGGGTCAAACTAGGACCTCATGCATATTGGACAAGTGCCCTCCCCTGAGGTGTAGGTCAGCCCAGATCTGTATACATCTTCTAAAAAGATTTGTACTATCACACAAATTTGAGGGGTCCTAAACATGCTCCCTCAACCCATTCCTCTGTCTCATTCCTTTTCAGCAGCTCTCTCTTTGCCCTGCATTCATGACATTCCCTGACAATGTCAAATGCCCCACTACTGTCTGACACCTAGCCGTTACTACCCATCATCCCTCACACATGTCCTGTCCCCACCCATCCTGTATCTCGAGGCGTTTCTACATTGCCAACACCAGATGGTCCCCTCGGGGGGAGTTCAGAGGAAGCCAGTCTCATTGCTACAGCCAGGCTGCATCCTGAGACTTCTTTCATCCTCCACCCTCATTCCGAGTCCCTCTGTGCTCGACCCCACCCCTGCATTTAGTTAGTATTCCACCTTTTGGTAGTGACTCTGTCTGAGATTCACTTCTCCTACCTAAGGTTATAAAATGGTAGAAAGCAGAGCCTGCCAATTCCTCCCAATTATTTTAAGTCATTCTCTTTCCAAGGAAATGTTCACAGGAGACATTTAAAAACACATCC